TAAAAATGTTAATATACTATTAACATTTTTGTGGATAAATAAGACAGAAAAAGAGATGATAGTTAATTAGGATATAGATATGCAACCAACACATTGTTTTGAAGATGGAGGGCCATAGGTACCTGTCCTCTTATATGGTACAAGTAGTTCTCCTCTAAAGCTGCTTTTAAAATTTGATGAGTAGAAATGTCTTATATGGGAAAATGTCCCAAAATATTACCATTGACTTTCTTAAGATGGGATCTATGGGATCCAATCAAATTTACTAAAATCGACACCCTATGCATTAGACTGATACTAGTAATGTGATACTTTACATTAGGACATTTAGACATACTCGGAGTAATAATTTAAAATTCTCTTCTTTCAAGAAGTAGTGACAGTTAATGTAAAGGTTGAAAAGATGATTATAAGACATCATAGAAATGTTAGAATGTTTTCCAGGTACTGAAAAATGTATATGAAATGTAATTCCATATAGCAGTTCTAGACAGTGATCAAGAAGCTTATGCATTCTGGAATTTAGCACAATCATTGGTATCCTTAAATCTACTCTAAGAGAAATGAATAGCTGCCTCTCTGACTGGCTTTAATGCCAGGTGGATTGAGAGAGAGAGGACATGGTACTTACTCTCTGTCTTTGAAATCTTCAAAAATCTAAAAGGAAAGAAGGAGTAGTGTTCTGTTAAAATTCTCACTTCTTACTTTGCACATGATTTCAAAGAGACAACTCCAAGGGAGATTATTAAAATTTTATCTTTCATGGTTATGTGAAAATGTTAATTCACTTACCAAAGAGAATATTATACACACATTTGGTTTAAAATTGAAATGCCATAGCAGATGTTAGCATTTGTTTTTCACTCACTTATTACCTTGCACAAAGATAGTAACTTCAAAATTAGCATATTACAACATTGTAAAACAAAGATAGCACATTTCAACTAAAGAAAACCAGAAAAATCTCTTTTAAGAACAGTGGGAGAGGAAGAGTCCTCGTGAACAAAAAAAGTTATTTTGTGCCTGGGGCTATAGACTAAAGTCTCATTTGATGTGATGAAAACCAAGTTTTGTTCCTCCCAAAACTCATATATTTCTGGGAATCATATTTTCTAAGGTCTGTTCCCAAAGGTCTTAACAGCATAATGAAAATTTGCATTATAGATATAAATGCAATTTTTTATATTACCAGTGACTTTTAGACCACAGCTTATGGATCTGTGGCTAATCCTTTGCATTAAGGAAACAGAAAAAGAAAGAAGAGAGGAGAGAAGAGAAAAAGGTAAAGAAAAGGAATGTTATGTGCAAAATGAGTTTGTCTATAACCATCTATCAGGAAAACAATATCACCACGAAAACTTAAATTTCATGTAGAAAAGAAGAAGAAAATATTCTGAAATATGCAGATTATATTCTGCCTAATGTCTAAAATATGTTAGGAAAAACTACCAAAAAGTTAGTAAAAACTCAACACCTCATAAATTCAAGGTCTACCATCCTCTTCATTAAGTTGTTAAGAGAATTACTGTTCCTGAAGGGTATCTGTGATAAGAAAAATATTTGTATTTTCTTGACGTGGCAATAAAAAATTGATAGAAATGTATTTGGGTCCTAAGCACTTTAAGAAATCTTAGAGGTTGGTTGAGGCTGTTAAAGTAAAAATTACACTGAATAAAGTCAACAGGCAGGAGAAATTTTGTGCAAGACTACTGCAATAGAAGATAGAAATTGAACCCCTCTGAAATAAAAGCTGAGGTGAGCTAGTGGAAAAGTACTGAAGGACTGGGGAAGGGTTGACTAATAAGTTGTGTTGAGCACATTGAGTTATTGAAATGGCAAATGTTTTTCTTTATGATTAGGCCATATGTGTTTGGTAATTGGCTCCCATCAAAGTCAGGATCCTATCTGCCCACAGAGACTGGCCGATGAAGGCACTATCGTTTTTAATATTTAGATTCAAAGCAATCATTTCCAGGTCTTTGTGAAAGACATTTCCTGTGAAATAAATCTGGCAAGAGGCTGGGAGATTTACAGATATTTCAAGGGGCAGAGAAAGAATTAACATTTGTAAGATTTCTGAAGTTAATGCTCTAAGAAATGGGAGGTCAGAGGCCTACAGTCAGGAAGACTTCTGTCCAAAGTTTTGTCATGCTATGGGAAGCATTCAGTTATCTTAGCCATGGCAATGACTTTGAATTTATATTCCAGGTTGAATTAGCTCTACCATTAATATTTATCTGGTGTTTTTTTTCTTTCCCCTTTGATTAAAATTGAGAGTAGCTATTCTAGATAGATAATACATAGATGGATGGATAGATAGATGATAGATAATATTCTTGGCATATTCATTTCAAGGATTTTAGAATTCTTAACAATATTATATATATTTTTATAGTTTATTTTCCTGAGACTACAAACCTCATAATTTGACAAGCAATATTCCTCACTCAGTTACTAACAATATAATTGGTTTATTATTTCTCTCTTTAATTAATTTGTAAATAATTTTTTTCCAATTATAGCAGCACATGCCAATGACATATCAAAATGACTGTGTATTTTATATCACAACTGGCTCTAATATGACTAACAACAATTTAATATTATTTTTTGTAATTATATATTTATACATAATAAACATTTATTTATATTTCTATTAATATCTACACTTATAAAATGTATGTAAATCTTACCTTAGTTATTTTTTATAGGAAAGACACTTTATTTTATTTATTTTTGTTTGTTTTTTAAACTGCTTTATTGAGATATACTTGACATTTAAAATGTTCAATTTGATAAGATTGACATATATATATATACATTTGTGAAATCATCATCACAATCAAAATACATTTTCCCCCTATATCTTTGTAATCCATTACTCCTAACCCCCATATGCTTTACAGGTATATAAGGCATATAGATATATATTTTTAAAAATTTAAATCATTTTATTTAGGTACAGTGATACATAAAAAGCTGTAGATAATTAAGGCATACAACTTGATGAGTTTGGATTACCTTATTTTTTAATACTTGAACAAATGGCCATTATATGACTATTAGAGGCCCGATGCATGAAATTCGTCCACCAGTAGGGTCCCTAGGCCTGGACGGTGATCAGGGATGATCAGGGCCTTCAGGCTGCTGGCCAGGCCTCCCTTCCCTGGTTGCCAACTGCCTGCCAGGCCTTCCTTCGTTCCACGCCTCCCCCTGGTGGTCAGTGCACATCATAGCCAACTCCTGGTTTCCCGGTTGAACTCCCAAGGGAACACTTTGCATATTTGCCTTTTATATATAAAGATAATGCCTTTTTTAAAATATGGCAAAATCTCTTTTTAACCCCCTCCTGTAATAATTCAGTAAAATTTTTAAGGTGATCTCTTGCTGCACATTAATAAACTATATGTAAAAATGCATGTTTTTGCATCTTTCTGTGTGCATGTCTGGGTGTTTATGTTTAAATGTGGTGGTCTTTGTTTTATTCTTTGATAGTCTGAAGGTTCCACCAAGATTGTATTGGTAAACAGCACTATTGGTTTACCTTTAAATACATTTAGTCAAAAAACCTGCATTTCCTATTTTTCTTACCATTCTAATTTTGAAACAAACTATAAAGAGAACACACAACTACAACAGAAAAAGTTATTGACTGTTGAGTTTATCATCCTTTTCAGAAAAGTTGAGAAGGTTCCAATTATTAGAATATTTTGCTAAAATGTCACAGCAGCAGTTATGTTAAGATTTATCTGTGGAATTTAATTTCTGGGCCAGAAATTAATTACTTTGCCTTTAAAAATGATACCTTTCATATATCAGAGTATTCCACATCAAAAGGAGACTCAAGTGATTCCAAAAAATGTAGTAGATCCTGGAAGAATGGCCCCTGAAATCAAGAAGATATAGGACGGAAGGTCGATAATTCATTTATCATTTGTATGCTTTTTTTCTTCACTTCAGGATGAGGGAAGAACCATAAACAATAACAAAAAAAGTCCATTTATAGCAGTACTGAAGTGATATCAAAACTGACTTGGCTTCCACTGTGAAACTCTAGCAGCTAAAGCTGACAAAGTACCATGAACTTTGAGTGAGAATGGCAGACCCACACTAGCTCTAACCATGGACACACTTAGGAAAAATGAACAATGGGATATGCTTTAACCAACAGTATACAGACCTGTAGACTCACTTTGTCCTATCTTGAGTGCTAGTTTTCAATTCTTTTTGTTTGTTTGCTTTAAGACATTTTATTGATTTTTAGAGAGAGAAGAAGAGAGAGAGAAACATCAATGTTTCCCCTATAGAGGATCAAGCCAGAACCTGGACATGTGCCCTGACTGGGAATCAAACCAGGAACCTTGAGGTGCACAGGAGATGATGCCCAACAACTGAGCCACACCCGCCAGAGCTAGTTTTCAATTCTTAGTGAACATAATCAACAAGTACTACCGTTTTCTGAAACTTCTCCCTTCCAACTCATCCCCTTTAGTGAATTACAGTAAATTTATTCACTAGATATGGTCCTTTGCCATGCAAGTTAGTGCATGTAGCTTTGCAATTTTTAAGTTATAAAAATAATACAATTTTGGCTGTTGAAAGTAGAAATAGTTCTTTTTTTTCCAATTGAACAATTTTCTTATGAAAAATAAACCATTTTTACTAATATTTCTGGGTCCAGCCAGGTTTTCTATCCCAGATGGTACATGATTTCTGACTATAGACTTCTGCTCATCTACATTTTTTTTTTGAGTTATAGGAAGAGTAATTTATACACATACATGTTTGGGGAGGTGTAAAAGAGTGGGGAGTTTCAAATGGGCAAGAGTTAAAAGAATAAAGAATATAATTTGAGGATTCTAAGAATATATATTACTAAAAATATAAAACAGACATGTCCTGCTTTGCTCTTTATCTCTTGGTAGCAACATTTTGTTTCTAAGTGACCAAGCCTCTTATTTTAAGACTCCCTCCTGCTTTATGTTAAAAACAAAGGAACAGTTATTTTCTGTTTCATTTTGCAACTCATATTGACATTAAATTCCTAAATTATTTAGGGGAAACAGTATTGTAAATTATAGTACCCAGTGTTTCAAGACCTCATTCATTCTAAGAAGGTACCCTTTTATGAGTGGTTAGGGAAAAAATGCAACTCAAAATAGGATACAGATACTTTTTAGAAAATAAATGTTAATGTTATTTGGAAAAGAAAAAGTTTGAAGCCACAAATCATTTAAATATGCATATAATTAACTGTCACACTTTATATTGTGAAATTTAATTAAACATGTTCTAGCCTTTTGGGTTTTGGAATGTTAGGTACAATGCTAAGTGATAGATGTGAGAAATCGATATTATCCTTCTGGCATTTTTGTTCAGCTATATAATAGCTTCTTACTAGGTGTGTAAGAGAGCTACTGGTATTTTTGCCTTGATTTACAGGAAAATGAACATTCTACAAAGGGTAAATCTATTAATTAGAGACCTGCACAGCTTTCTTTCTTGCTAGTGTAATCGTTAAATTGATTTTTCCAGTCCATCATGTAATTGTTCCAGCGATGGAATCCTGCTTTCCATTCTTGTTCTGCTTCATCAATATTTCCTGTAAAACAGGGAATACATTGAATTAATGTAAATTTTATCTCTTTCTATTAATTGAAAAATAATTTTGATTGCAGATGCCATTTTTTTCCAAATACAATGTACAGCAATTTTTTTATTCTTTATTATTTATTATCAATTTTTTACTTCCCAAATAACTTTAAGTTGCTACATATTCTATAAAATGCAAATAATACATTTGTTTAAAACATATACAAAATATAAATATTTATAATACATAAAATGCAAAAATGAGTTTATATATTATATGCCAAATTATAATATATTATATATATTTTTTGTTTCTAAAAAGATAAAGATAATATTCTTTTCTTGAGTCTCCTACTCATAAAAAAATTGTATTTAATGCATCTTACTTACATATGTAATTATACTTCAGAATATTATTTTTAGTGAAAGTGTTTATATCACAATACTTATTTCCATACAGATAACTTTGCAATTGGCATTCTATGTAGATATTGCATTCTTTCTATATAAATTATTTTAATTCCAAATAATTCTTCATCATTGAAAGCAGTTTATTAAAACTACTATAGGAAAGCAGTTTATTAATCGCTTTGCGAATGAGAAAGACAACTAAGATAATCTATGCTTTCTAGTAATTTGCAAACTGCATGTATGTATCACGGAAGAGGGGTTTTTAAGTAAAAAATGTGAGGCAATGAACCAAATTGGTCTTTCTATGTACTACAAGAACCTTGAAATCTTGATTTATTTGAAAGTGTATTACATTAAAGCAGGGGTCCTCAAACTTTTTAAACAGGGGGCCAGTTCACTGTCCCTCAGACCGTTGGAGGGCCGGACTATAGTTAAAAAACAAACAAACTATAAACAAATTCCTATGCACACTGCACATATCTTATTTTGAAGTAAAAAAACAAAACGGGAACAAATACAATATTTGTATTTGCATGTGGCCCGCGGGCCATAGTTTGAGGACCCCTGCATTAAAGAATAAAGTTTGTGAACAATAGAAACTCTTAAATTACAAATTTTAAAAATCATATATTGATGTTCCTAATATAAATAGGTATAAGTCTAGAAGTTGGTTTAAATTATTTAATTTTATAAGTATTATGTACATTTGTAGTTATCTTATTGTTTTAAACTTCTAGCATGCTGAGTTGGTTATTGACTTAAAAACAAAAATTTAAGTTATTTACATTTCCTAAAAAGAATAACTTAGAATTGTTAAAATATATAATTTTCAAGTAGCAATTTAAAATAACAATTATAACTTTGTAAGATTTTAATTTAGAAAAGACAGTTCATGTGATCATACTAAATTATAATACACATGGAAAAGTGTCTTGCTTTCATTCATGCTATTAATAATGGAGCACATTCAATGATTCATTTTTAGTTCATATAAATATCAAAATATTTAAAACATTTGTATAGACATCAAATATTCTCTGGAATTTAGAATAAATCTAGGTTTGAAATGTTCATACTGCTTGGAAAATGGACAAATATTTGAGAATTTATATTAAAAAGTCTCATTTTTATGTACAAATGACTTTGAAATGTCAATGACTATCATTTCTTTGTGAATAAAATAACTTTTCTAGAGTCAAAAGCATTAGAGGTGGAAGAAAGATATTAAATATCATAACCAAATTATCATTCCTATGTTATTTTTATAACTAATATGTTTTAAATATTACTTATATAAAATAAGAACCCTATAGTTCAGAAAGAACAAAATTTTTGATATAACAAATAAATTATTGGTAATTTAGCATTTAGAACATAAATGCTAATACTTAGAGAAAATATCCTCGCTATGATTTTCCTTTCTTATTGTTGGAATAATTCCAAATCTATTGATTCATGTACATGCAAGTTTATTTCCTTATGTGGCTAAATCAACCATCTATACAATTTAGTGTATTGAAATACTTAACTTTATATTGTACAAATGCTCTGTAAACCCAACTACATTTTTCACTTAGAAGTACTAAACATTGATTGAGACACTAAATTATAAAACATTTAATTATTTTTAACAGAATCCAGGAGAAGTGAATGCACCACAATAAGAAAATAATAAAACATTTTGAGTCCCATGACATGAATGAAAACCAAAATTAGAATTTTTTCTCTTCCTCCTTCTTCTCCTCAAAAAGGGGAATATCTATTTAAACATCTAAAGATTTACCACCTGTGAGATGCTGATAACAACGTACTATGGTGTAAAATAAAGAAAAGAATAACAGAAAAATTAATCACTTTTCAAATAAGTTTTCCACTATTTTGCAGTGTTACCGTGAAGAATAAATGAGATGGTGTGTACATTATGAAATCAAACTCTACTCACCGATTAGGAGCTACACTAATGAATTTAATGCCCTTGTCACAAAAATGTATTCCTAACTTTGGTCTTTTTTGAATCCATGTACAGCTAGATTAATACCAGTAGTTCATAAACACATTGGCACATTTTTTTTCAGGACTTTTATAATCTTTGTTTTGCCACATTGTTGTCTCACAAGGAAAAGAGTCAGTTTTTCTTTCCTACACAAAGAGGAAGAATAAAGCCATATTTTTTTAAAATATATTTTATTGATTTTTTATAGAGAGGGAGGAAGAGGGATAGAGAGAAACATCAATTAGCTGCCTCCTGCACACCCCCTACTGGGGATGTGCCCACAACCAAGGTACATGGCCTTGACCAGAATCGAACCTGGGACCCTTCAGTCTGCAGGCCGACGCTCTATCCACTGAGCCAAACCGATTAGGGCAAGTCATATTTTGTCTTGATTAAAAAACAGTAATATTCCACTGCAGCTAGTCTATTTAGTCAAGTCTGAGGAGTTAGGAGAGAACACAGAATGGTAAGTCAACTCAGAATTGTTAATGAAGGTTAAGTCTGAAGAAGAGATTAAATTGATAATGAATTGTGCTGAGCATTATGATAAAAGTATTTTATGTATTTTTGAGAGTTCACTGAAAATCTCTTCTTAATACTTATTTCCATTCTTGTCAACCAATTATTAAAATTTCAAAGAAATGCATGGTTTTTATGGAGTGTATCAGAACTTAATAGTTGTCCTGTTATAATTTTGAGTGTGTGATGAAATAGTAGAGTGAACAGGCTAGGTTTTGTGATGATTTCATGCTTTAAACATGAAACTAAAATATTATTTGATTTAATTAAAGGTTGCCCAAAGGTTTTTTGTTGTAGTTGTTCTGTATTATTTTGGTTTTTTTTTAATGGAAATAGAAAATTCAGAATATGAAAGCAGTAAAATTTTTTTTGATTTTTTCTCCTCCAAGCCAGTTTTCACTCTAATTTTTTGGTTGCCATTCTTGCTAAATGATGATGAAATAGCAGTACATAATTCTTCAGAGTGGTATCTCAGCTCTTACATTTATATGTGGTCTTCCTTAGTTTGGGCAAAGTAATAATGTGCCATGATTTATTTAAAGACCAAAGGAGGAACCACTGGATCTAATATTTGTTTTCTATTGGGAAGATATGGAAGTCTAATATGTTTTTTTTTCTGTTAAATAAATGTACTCTTCCACATTCAGTGAAAAATGTTGATATCTTATTGACATTGACTGGGTCATTTCTCTCCTTTTTTTCCCCAAATGATTCTGATATATTATACAGTTATATTCTTCACGAAAACTCTAATTTGATAAAATTTGAAACAAAAGTAGTACACTTTATTTCTTGCAGGTGCATGCAGTAATAGCATAGGCAAGTACTAAATTATGGCTTGAAAGTTAAGTGCTAGAATTCATGTGTTTAAACAAGTCTTACAGATTATTTTATGTAAGAACATTTATTTCTCAAACAGAAACTATTGCCTAAGTGGTACTTATAAAGCTTACTAGGTTTTCGTCTTGAGTGAAGTAAGCATTACATTTCTCCTTTTAAATAATCCAGTCAGTAGTCATCCTTTGAAATTTTCTTTTACTTGTAGAGCTGCATTTTAAAAATGATATTTTCATAAAAAACTTCCACCCATGTCATCTGAAAAGCTTCAATTTTCAAAACATCAAAAAATGAAATGTTTGAAGTTTTGCAACTAGAAAAACATAAGATATGATAAGAACATGTGCTTTTTGTTACTATTTTATTAATTTGAGTACACATATTTTTTTTACATTTTATTTGTTTTTTACAGAGAAGAAGGGAGAGGAATAGAGAGTTAGAAACATCGATGAGAGAGATCGATCAGCTGCCTCCTGCACACTCCCCACTGGGGATGTGCCTGCAACCAAGGTACATGCCCTTGACTGGAATCAAACCTGGGACCCTTCAGTCCGCAGACCGACACTCTATCCACTGAGCCAAACCGGTTTGGCTACATATTTCATTTTTTATTTTATTTTTTCCCTTCATTGATTAAGGAATTACATATGTGTCCTTATCCTCGCAACCCCCCACTCATGCTCTCACCCCCTGGTGTCTGTGCCCATTGGTTAGGCTAATAGAACGTGTACTTTTAACCTTTTTAAACCCTTCATTATTTATTATTTATAATACTAAAATCGTGTAATTTTAAATTAGTTTTGTGCATTTAAATGTATTTTTTTAGAAATTTAGAAATACATTGTTGATGTTCTAAAATCACCTGTATTTAGTTAATTTTTTTAAAAAATATATATTTTAATGTAAATTTTTGAAAAAATTATCTGAGAAGAATACTTAAATTACATTTTCAAGACACATGGAATTATCCCAAGAGCACATTCCTAACCTAGAACAGGTATGATATTTCCCCACAGTGTTGCTCAAACTAGAAAGTTGTTCCGTACTGCATAGGAAGTGGCAGAAGCTAGCTAAAAATTAAAAATTTTTATTAAATCTGCCTTATGGCAGTTGAGTATTTAGAGGTAGAGATTTTGAAGCACAACTTCAGAAGTTGTGGATATTCAAATTTTATTTTATCCACAAATAAATTGCAAGATACCATATGTGCCTGAATCAGAATGGCTCAGTTTGGCTTATAATAAATTAGTCATTTACAATCCCACCAACCCCTCTCTTATTTTTTTTCTCAAACTATGAATTTCTCATTTAAAAATATTTTAAGTAAAGATTAAGACTATGTGGTGAGTGGTATGCTAAATGGTACCTCTTCTGGTCTCTTGGCAGTTTCAACGTGTTACCTCATTGTTATTCACACCCAGAGGACACAAAGGCAGCACTGTATCTCTGCCAAGGAATGCAGAAGCCCATCTCTGGATATATATTATGTCACTGAACATTTGGTAATACACAGAGTGCTGGTATATCAGAAAAATTTCCCAAACAGATGGAGCACATAATTATAATTTTGGTGAGTAATGTCTGATAATCAAAAGGCATATTAAACAATCAACTACAGCTCTGAGGTGCTCATATTTGCATGAAACTAACCCCTTCCCTCTCTAAATAAGAAACTAACAACATACTATATTGTGCTAGTTAATATGTAGTCTGAAAATTACAGTGTTATAATGAACAGAATGGTAAAGGGTAAAGGAACTGGCCGGCAATATGTCTGATGGCTGAAAGTCAATTACTTTTATTTGAGAAAATTAAGGTAGAAAATTGACTAGAAGAGCCACATGGGTTATAAACAGCTGAGCTTTTTAAACCCAGGCATTGAATGAGATATGCCATTTTTCTCACAAGAGATGTGATCATTCAAGTTGGATGTTCAAGTTAATTTAGTTTTTCGCTCATGAATTTTGAAATAATATGATCACCTGAACCAATTTTCTTAGTATTTCCTTATATAAGTCTAGATAAGCACTTCCAGAAGATTAGCTAACTAATTTAGTATCAGTTTATTGTATTATGTAATATGTGTACCTGTTTTTAGATAAATATCTCCAAGTTCAGGATATTTAGAAATATTTGGATTTTGTTATTTTAAATGTAAACTTCTGAGTTGTTTTTTTTTTCCCTTTAGAAATCAAGGGTTGCACTACTTATCAATAAATTTGTTATTACCTGTTTCTAGTAGAAATTATATTTTGTTATATTTTAGTTGTGTGAATTATTTATTTTATGTATAAATTTATTATCCATTGATTAATTCCATGAAGATTGGCTGAATAGCAAGTAGTGCCCTATTTTAGTTCTGCTAATATTTATGTTCTTCTAGGGAAAAATTCCTATTTTAGTTTTCTTTATTTAACTACTAAAGTGCTGTTCATATAGTAAGCCCTCAAAACATACCCAAACTTGCTGGAAGAAAATTGTTAGTAATTAGGACTCATCAGAATCAAGTAATTATAAAGTCACAGATTAACACCATCTATATGCCTTGGATAGTCCAGCTTTTCCCCCTTTTACATAATCCACAAGCAATTATTGAACAAAATATTAAAAACACACACCTGTCATTTCCAAGACTTTGGGAAAAAACAGTGTCCAGAATCGGCATTGTTGAGCACGTAGTTTAGTATATATTTTTGGCGACTCTGTATTCAAGGTTAAATAGTTTTGTTCAGTGCTTTTGAAGACAGGCCAACTTGTACTACTATTCTGGGTCCCATTTGGATTTCTAAAAAATTAAAGAAAGACATTATACCTTTACTGAAATCATTGCTAGATGAAAATATTGTTCTCAAAAACCAGTAAGAGCTTTTTAAAAATTCAGGAAAATATTGTGAATTTCTTTGAGGATGTCAAGCATAAATGAGCTTGGTCGAATGTTTTCAGTACCTTGAAGGACTATGTTATTTAAAAATTGTTGGAAATAAAGTTTGAAGAACTTTTTACATGCATTTCTGCATACCATGCAAGGAGAAAAATACATTTCCTTTTCAATAATGCTGTGTTTTTTAAAATATATTTTTATTGATTTCAGAGAGAAAGGGAGAGTGAGAGATAGAAACATCATTGATGAGAGAGAATCATTTACCAGCTGCCTCCTGCATGCCTCATTCTGGGGATTGAGTCCCACAACACAGGCATGTGCCCTGACTGGGAATTGAACTGTGACCTCCTGGTTCAGAGGTCAATGCTCAACCACTGAACCATGCCAGCCAGGTAATAATGCTGGTTTTTTTGTTTTGTTTTCTTTTAAACATGCTCAAATGGTAGTGTCATTTTTGTTTCATCTTTTCCCCTTATCCCAGGCCTAAACTTTTCACAATTAACATTAATACCATCTATTTAATAACTGTTCCATCTATTTCATTCTATTTGTTATTCTTACTGACTGAGTCTGGGACCTATTACACATTTCCTTATTATGTAATCGCCTCGTTACTCTAGGAAACTGCCTTAAGTCTCAGTTTTAAGCTGATCTTACCTTCTTGAAGACCCATTCACTGCTTAAAATTATTTTAATAACTCCAAGTGGATTTAGATAAAGGTTAAACACGATGCCACTCACATTTCCAAGCTTATTTTCAGATATTCTATTCATAAGCCAACCAACAGGAATTAGGGATAGTTCCTTAGTAATATCCTCCTTTATTTTATTTCTCTGCCTTTGCTCCAGCTATTATTTCTGCTTGAAATCTTTTTATTCTCCAACATCATGTGTCTATGTCGATTAAGAACTTTCATATTCTAATTTGTGCCAATATTTCTTATATCTTTCGTGTGGTTTCTTAATCAATAACATCACTCTTTTTTAGAAATATATAGTTTTGGGTTCATTTACATCTTTGTGGCACTCAATAATGCTTTGTTACCTAGGTCATACAAATTGAAACTCAAAGTAGCAAACATTGCCAAAGTGACTCCAAGTAGAAAATCCATAGATTTTCCTTTAATAAATTTTAAAGTTATAATTATGAGTCAGACATTGCTCTAGGCTCTAGAAATATAAATAATTATGGGAAACATAGTTTCCTGCAGGAAATTTATAAACAAAAATATCCATGAAAGAAAGAATCAACAATGTATGGTAGCCTAAACCAAGTGTAAACAAAGGGACACAAATCATCAGAGGACTGAGCAATCACTAAGTTTGAAAGGAAGTTACCTGAAGGAGTGAGACTCCAGCTGAAGTAAGGAGAGAAAATAAGGAACTGAACCAGACAGAAAAGTTGGAAAAGCTAAAGAGAGGAAACAGACTCATAGATAGAGAGGAGGCAGGAGATTGAGCAAAAAAGAAAAATAAGAGAGAGATAACTCATGGACATGGACAACAGTGTGGTGATTGCAGGGGGGTGGGGAGAGGAGAAGAAAGAGGAAACAGAATTAACATAAGCACAAATAATGAGTGTTCATCTTCATTCAAAGGACTCTAGGATAGAGGAGATCCTTTTAGAATTATAGCTCTAGAATATTAGTCTTATCACATTAAGACCTGACAGTCTAGAAAAATGGTTTGGACTTTAGCTTGTAGGTATTTACTATTCTTGAGGGATTTTTGACTAAATGTTTTACTGTGAACATAACATTCTAGTATTTTTTTAATCTGGGTGTGATATCTAGAATAATAAAAAAGCTAGAAAGTAGTCACAGGTACTTTAATCATAAGCAGAAGACTAGACTAATAAGGATTAGGGAGTCATTCCTTTCTCTTAGATTCATTCTGTCTTAAGCAAAATCATATAAGAAAAACTCCAGTTGAATGTGCCTAAAAGTAGAACACATAAAATTCTTCATTATTTAATACCTTCTGTGAATTATTAATTATTAATGGATAGAAAGTTGCAAGTAGTGATAGCAGATTATATATACAATATATATACTGTATATACAAAAACCTATGAACCCAGTAGATTTTGGAAAGACAAGCAAGCATTTGTCCAGCATGAATATTTAGCAGTAGATTTTGCCATCAAGAACTTGTATCAAATAAGCACCATAAATTCATATTTTGCCATAGAAGCAGACTATTCCACCACAAATTCAGAAGCTTTAGCAATAAATAACTTCTTGATGTAGGAGTTGATTTTATGAAGGAATTGGATGACTTAATAAGAACTATTAATAAGCAGAGGTATTCAAGCTAAACCCATATCATAACAGGATTGAAACCTCCTGCCTGAGGGTGCTTTTTGAGAGAGATCATGAAGAAAATGTCTCCAGCTCACAGATGGCACCCTTGTCTAGGTGAATTATGGAGTCTTTTCCCTTTCCTTTAAAGCTTTGGAAACTAACAACTACAGCTGCTGGAGGCTGGGTTTTAAACCAGAAGAACCATTGGTCTGATTCGGTACAGCAATTCTTATGTCCCTAAATTGCTGGCTTTCCTTCTAATTCCACTCTAATTAACTTATGGCACCATTTTAACTGCACATTCATTTATGGCTTCTGCAAATGGTGACTTAAACAGAGCCGACTTGTACTTGAGTTCAGGAGGGAGGCAGTAATGACACTGCCAGGGTTGATTTAACAAACTTTGTCCATGAAATAACTCATGACATTCCAAATTACAACTCAGCGATAATAAAATTCCTTTGCCTATGGATGCAGATGTAGTTTTCAAAAAGTGATTGAAATAGCTATTGAAGTGATGGAGCATTTTACTCTATAATTTGAAGAAATCTCCAAAGATGTTAAAACTTAACAAGGAATATAATGCTCTTCCTATCTGGATCAATTAAAAACTTTGTGAAAGATAAAATATTTTCCAGATATACACTTTTGAAACAGTATATAATTTTAATCTCAAAATTATAGATGCATTAAACATCTTGACATCACAATTTTTCAAAAAAGTTATCTTCTTGTCACAAAAGGAAGGTTTTAAAGTGATGATACCTAAAATTTTCCATGAAGAGTAATTTTTGCTTTATTTTCACTATTATATTCTTTTTGTACTTTGTGGTATATAAAAGTAGCATAAAGATCATCAATTATACTTTTCTTCTTATGTAGGTTTGACAAGTTTTAAGTTTTCTCTTGTTTAACCAAAAAAAAAGGCAGATTCTCTTTGCAACTTCTGTGTTTCAGGAAATTACCTGCTTGTCATTGAAATGTGAGCCCAGATTTGACAATTCACTTCATAAATTGCTTTTTTTAGTGACATTAATTGACTCAGGGTGCCTTTTATGAAGTAGTATGTATTAAGCTCCATACATAAAGTGTTCTGATGCTTATATATCCTGGTATTACCTACCAAAACTAACACTGAAATTAAGATTATTTTTGACTAAGAATTCAGATACAGCAATGTATAAGTAGGCTATACAGTTATTTTATTTTAAGTCAGTATGCTTTACAATCTAATAAAATAAGTACATAATTAGTGGTTGTAAATTGAAAGACCACCTATATATTCTACTGTCATAAGAGGGCTAAGGAGTAACAGTTTATATTGGATGATTTCTTAAAAATACAAATATCCATGAATTCATATTCCATGTCATATTACACTTCAATCAAATTGTATTTTAATTTAAAGAGTAGAATGGCTATAAGAGAATCTGAATATAGAAAAAAATCATTCCTTGATTCAACAAATATTATTGAGTGCATACTATGCCAAGCTTCTTTAAGTCACAGAAGATTTAACAAAGGCAAAATTGGCAGAATTCCTTCCTCTTGCAGTTTTCATTCTTTGAGGGGAAAAAAACAATAAACAAGATAAACAGGGGAAATATGTTAGACAGTAATAGCTGCTATAGAAAATAAAATGGAGAATAGGAATAATAGGAAATGACCAGTAAGTATCAGTGGGGATGGGCATTGGTGAGGGTGTGTGTAATAATGAATTTGATTGGACAATGTCCACAGCTCCTGTGAGGTAACATCTAAGACTTTCAAATTTCCCACCATACTGATTATTTATGCTAACAAAGTGACTCATGGTGGGCACCTGATGATTTTTGATAATGACATCATTCAAGGTGGGGCTACTCAGGATTAGAATCTCAGGGAAGGCATGGCTATGGCTAAAAGACCATGCATATGATTAGAGAGGTTGAGACTTTGAACCACATGATACTAGCCTGACTTCCAGAAAAGAGAGGGGGCTGAAGATTGATTTCAACCACATAGCCAATAAGTTAATCAATCATGCCTACATAATGAAACTCCAATAAAACCCTGAGCCTCAAGCTCAAATGAGCTTCCTGGTTTGGTGATACTCTAAGGCAGCGGTTCTCAATCTGTGGGTCGCTACCCCTTTGGGGGTTGAACGACCCTTTCACAGGGGTCGCCTAAGACCATCAGAAAACACATATATAATTACATATTGTTTTTGTGATTAATCACTATGCTTTAATTATGTTCAATTTGTAACAATAAAATTGGGGGTCACCACAACATGAGGAACTGTATTAAAGGGTCGTGGCATTAGGAAGGTTGAGAACCACTGCTCTAAGGGCACATTACCATGATTAATGGCATGAAGTAATGCATCTCCAAGTATACAGAAGCTTTGCTTTTGGAACACTGTCAGTACCAGGCCCTGTTCTAAGGTATCTTTTTCTTTGGTTCTGATGTATATCCTTTTGTTATATTAAAATCATGATTATAATTATAGCACTTTCCTGAGTTCTGTGTGTCATTCTAACAAATTATCAAATTTTATGGAGTCCACAAGGGCCTTAAATTTGTATCTGGCTTGTCTGAACTGAGGGTGGCCTGGAGACC